CATGGTTGTTAAGAATGCTACAATGGGCATAAATGATGACCAGTCATAAGTGCGAAGACCAGCCAAAAGTGGGAGGACCTGTCAGAAATCACTTTTTTCAGCCCTCTGGGTAGTCCTTTTGTGTATATGGACTACTCAGAGGGCTGAAAAAGTAATTTTTGACTGGTCCTCGCACTTTTGACCAGATCTCGAATTTACGACTATCCTCACATTTTACGTTTTTTGTCCTATCTTATCACCATGTGAAAAGAAGCAGTTGTGAAATGAGTGACATGGTTGTTAAGAATGCTGCATGGGCATAAATGTGAGGATGGTCATAAGTGTGAGGACCAGTCAAAAGTGTGAGGACCTGTCAGAAATGACTTTTTTCAGCCCTCTGAGTAGTCCCTATACACATAGCCATGGCCACCTGGTCACATGACCAGCTAGCCACACCCACCCAGTCACATGACCTCCTAGCCATGCCCACAAAATAAGCCACGCCCACAGAACCAGTAGTAAAAAAATTTAGAACCCACCCCTGGTTGGGGGTCACTACAACATGAGGAACTGTATTAAAGGGTCGTGGCATTAGGAAGGTTGAGAACCACTGGCATAGAGGAAAAAGCCCCAGGGCTCTACAGGAGAGTTGCCATCTCCCCTGGAACCTCCCAGGACGCTCCTCCTTAGCTTCACCTCCCCTCCAAGGAGGTTTTTGGCTCTTTTCAGAGCTTACAAACAAAAAGAAGCCAGCGCAGGGTCGGAGAGCTCTGTTCCCTTGTGACTGGTAGCGCCACGACGTCACTTCCAGTCTGAGACTTAGATGATGTATCTGAGATGGAGAGTAGCAATAGTTGGCAGTGGTCTCCTCTCAAACCTATAGTAGAATACATTCAGGTCATCTGCCAGTTTCTGATTCTCTTCCACTAGGGAGGAGGTATGCTGTAGCCAGTGATATTCTTCAGTCTTTTCCACACGTTTGCTGGTTCATTTGTGCAGAACTGAATCCTCAGATTTCCAGAGTAGCTTCTTTTTGCTGCCCAGATCTTTCATATTAATACATTCCTGGCCTGATTGTACAGCATTCTATCTCTCTTCCTGTAGCCTTCCTCTTTGGCATGGCATAGATGTTTCAGCTTAGCTGTGAACCAAGTTTTTTTTATTACTGTAGATGCATAAAGTTTTGGTTGGCACACATATAAGTCCTCACAAAAGCTAATGTATGTCACAGTGTCTTTGAGTTCATCCAAATCCATTGAGGCAGCTTCAAAAACATTCCAGTTTGTGCAGTTGAGGCAAGCCTGTAGCTTTAACTTTGTCTTTTCAGTCCAAGATTTCACTGTATTAACTATTGGTTTTATGATTTTAAGTTTTTGTCTATAAACAGGTACAAGATGAATCATAGAGTGATCAGAGTGTCCCACAGCCATTCTTGGTAGAGAGCGATACGCATCTTTTATTATAGAGCAGCAGTAGTCTAAAATATTCTTGCTAAGAGACATAATGAATGTTTCTTAGCAGCTCATGATTTAGGTTAGCACTGTTAAAAAAATCTGCTAATACAATGAGTAGGGACTCTGGATATCTCTGTTCAGCCCACAGGATTTGGTCAGTTAAGGTTTGCAATGCCTTGTTTATGCAAGCTTGGGTGGTATGTGGTTACAACTAGGATGAATGAAGAAAACTTGTGTGGGGGGGAATAATAGGGTATGCAAATAATATAGGGTAATAATAGGGTATGGTGAATAGTGTCTCTAAGTCCACATCACAAAATTTCTATAGTGTAGTGACATTTTCACACCATTTGTTGTTAATATAAAAGCAGATACCTCCTCCCTTCTTTTTACCGGATTGCAATTTGCAATTCTATCTGCTCTTTGCATCTGAAATCCTAGGATTTGCAAGCAGTGAGCATTAATCAAATCGTTCAGCCATGTTTCCATGAAGCAGAGGGTCACTGAGTTAGAAAATCTGAGTTGTTCCTATTTAAAAGGAGCAGTTCATCTATCTTATTTAAAAGTGAGTGAAGATTAGTTAAATACAGTGAGGGGAGATTTTCTTATCCCATGCTTTTGGAGTCTTTAAAAAATGCCTCCTTGCTTCCCCTCCTTCTCCTTTCCTGTTTCTCTTCTGCTTTCTAATTACCATGCCAAGATATAACTGCCAATCCCTCAGTCAGAATTTCTTCCACATTTGAAAAGAAGCGAGGAATAGATCCAGAAAGCTGCTTGTTATTTAAAATCCACTGTCTGATATTCAAAATCTGATCTGAGTATGAAATTTGCAAAGAATCACATAAAACGTAAACATATTAAAAAAAGACAGATGTAATCAATCAAGTGTAAACACTAAAGTTGTGAAAGAAATCACATAGATTGACATGTTGTAAACAACAAAGGAAGTTTTTTATAGAGCTCTGAGCTTTTATGCAGTGGGCTTGATCTTTGTCCCAAGCATGAGACTGTTTCTGCAGAAATAAACAGCTGAAAATCTTCCTTGTTCCAGCATGATTTATTGATAATTTGCTCTGGGGAAAACAACCCAGCTGAGGTTCAAGCCAACAACATGGCTGATATCTATTCTACCTACTAGTTTAGAAATTTCTGCTGCAGAAATTGATTAAATATTTTCCCACCAGAAGGTCTATATAAGCAGATCCCCATGGGACCAGTTCCATGGAGAGAGACTTTTCTGCAGACTGGAGGGGGCATGGTTTCTCATGCTGCCTGCATCCCACAGATGGGGCTTCACTTGTTTGCTTGGCCTGGTTGCTGGCATGCCATGGACTGGTGCCAATCCATGGCCTGGGGCGGAGAACTCCTGGTCTACATCTCCAGGCTCTCTGCCCCCGACTTTCTTTTTCTCCCTCCAATCTACTTTAAATAGCCTTTATATAAATTCTGAGTTATGGTATTATTTAACTGCATCACTATTTTCCTCGATTGTGGGATGGTAAAAACTCAGTGTTAATTGGAACCCTGAAAAAGATGAGGCACAGGATAATAAAGAAGTTTGAGCTTTCTCAGTGCCACTATTATGATACCCAAAATCTTTCTCAAGTATGTAATTAGATGCTTACCTTCTGTGCATTTGTTTTTGTATCTGATAACTCTTCCATTTTCTCTTCTGACCTTAAAAAGAGAGGACTATTACATTTGTAGGTTTAGTACAAGGCAGTAACCTGGAAGTTGCACACTAAGCTATCTTGAAAGTGCCACTGATCCATGAATAGCAAAAATCTCTCCTTGTAGCCAATTTAAGGGATGGTATTTAACATATACTGAGGTGGAAAAGGAGATAAGATCAGGAAAATGGATAGAGGTAGAAATCTATATATCTATAGTTAAAGATCTAGTGGTTAAGGCACCAGGACTAGAAAGTGATAAACCATGAATTCAATTTCCAGTTGGGTAACTTTGGGCCAATCACTCTTTCAGCCCAACCCACTCACAGGGGTTGGTTGCTGCTGTGGAGAAAATAGGAATTGGATATGTTTGTGGCCTTGAATTATTTGTAAAGATAATAAAAACAAAAGCACTGGGATATAAATAAACAAATCTGTCCTCCCACTAATTCCTGCAGAAGGACTAATGATCCAAATTCAATGTTGAGGGCTGAATTTTCATCCCTCAATGTTGGAATCAACCTGTTTCCCTAATTCTGGTGGGCCCAGAAGGCCCAAAAATCAGCTGGTCAGCGCACTCATGCACGCCGGAGTTGAGCTCGCGTGCCCACTAGTATGGCTACGCATGTGCCATAGGTTCACCATCACGACTATAGACTATATGGCAGCACCTGATATATAGGCTTAAAGAGTTATGAGTTTGCTATTTTGTGTTTCTGAAGAAAATTTGCATCTTTACTACCTAATTTTTTTACCTATAAATTAATTTTCTTGAAATACCACCTTCTGCAATCTGGTCTTGTGCAAGTGCAGGGATATGTTTTCTCTTTTCTGAATTTGATGGGAATAAATTTATGATATAATAAAATAAACGTTTGCATAGTGTTCTGTCCAAATTTGGAAACAAAGCATTAAGAGGCACTTGTCTAACTTTGTACCAATTGTTGATTTTTGGCCCACAAGTAAACTGGTCTTATTTAAGCATGCCTTTATGACTTGGAACTGATTTGTCTTCCCGTGGTATGGTCTTTTCACCTTTATTGATATTTTAATTGGTTATTTTCAAACAGTTTATATAATTATGTATTGTTAAATTTTATTCAGTTTATATCCTGCATTTCTACTTGTGTGAGTGCTTAAAGTAGCTATCAAAATAATATAAAGATTATTACAGATAAATAAATGGCAACTATTCTTATGCATTTTGCGTATCTGGTATTAGTTTCTTTATGTTGCTGTATTTATGTAAACATTCATTGAAAAGTTTATGGTAGATAGCCTGAGTCTATTTGATGAAATAATAAGGTACATGTAGCTAAATGAAATAAGTAATGAACAGCAGATACAAGTGCCTAATAAAATAAATAAATTGTCTGTTACGTTAGCGTTTCAAAATAATCACCAAATTTTATAATTTTTTATAAATGATGTTTCTGTGCGTAGAATTTGGCTTCATGAATTTTATTAGGCATCTGGGTTTCCTTTTTGTGAAGAGAAATGGGACTTTATTAATTGAAAAAAGAATTTGGTTTTGAGAAAAGCTGACAGAACTTCTGTACTTATAGGAATAGTGTGACAGACGTGTGACATCTAAGGCCCTCTGGATGCTGGGAATGACTTTGTCCTTTCCATGTTTTATCTGATAGCACTAGTCAAAGATTATGTGGAAAAGATGAAAGCTTTTTCTTAGTCCAACATCAGATAATCCTTGCCTACTATGACAAAATCTTGTCATAGTAAATAATCACTGTCTATGGGATAACAGTTATTATTTTCAGTATTGCAGCCTGTTGTCTATCAGTTTGTAAAGTGAAATTTCTGCCAAACCATTATCCTCTCAGGATGAGTGAGGCTATTTGGTTTACTTTTGTGTTATTCTTTCTTTCTTTTTTTCCAGAGACAATTGCCTGAATTCATCAGGATGCACAGAACCACCAGGATAAAAATCACAGAGCTGAACCCTCACTTAATGTGTGCCTTATGTGGAGGCTACTTTATAGATGCCACAACTATTGTGGAATGCTTACATTCATGTAAGTATCAAATAAGAAATTTCCCTGTTTGAACTTGACAGAATCTCTGAACTTTCTCGTTGATGAAGGTCCATTTCAAATGCGCAGGATAATCATGTTGTCCACTCAGAACACAAATTCCCTTCACTACATGATAGCTAATCTCCCATTCTTCAGATTGTCCTGGTAACCTTGATTTCCCTGATTTTCAAAGTATTCTTCATCTTTACTGCCCAATAAAGATAATTTTGTTAGCAAGTCTGGACATGAGTGACAGTTAAAACAGTAAGATATTATTCTAATGCAATGAAAGATGACTTAGACAAAAGGCTAATAGGCTGAAGATTCCTATTGACAAGATATTCATAGTTAAAATTATGAGGCAAGATTTAGTTACAGTAAGTCTGAGCTTTCATCTTAAGCATTTAATGCTACTTGCCAGTTAGTCACCAGTGAATAAGAAAAGAGGAAGGAAAAGTAATCACTTAGCACAATATCAGATATCCCTGCTTCTTATTATTTAATGCTTTATATATTTGATCATATATTTGATGTATGTCTGAATACGGTTAAATGTCTATTATTGATATAAATAAACCTCTATTTTATGAAGAGCAAGTAGTCTAAAGATGCCTTCAAAAACTCTTGAGATGTGAAGTTAGTATTACACACTCATCCACTGGAGTACAATTTCTCATTCAGATTTATAGCAAATGTGCGTATATTCTTAGCAAAAGAGATTGTGTGATTTTGGGAAGGCTAGTAAAATCATTGTTTCAAAAGTGAAAAGTGTAAGTGGTCCTCAGAATAACAGAGTTGGAATGATCCTTGGAGGTTTCCTAGTCCAACCCTTGCTTAACCCATAATGCTTAAGAGCACATTGAAGTTCACTGTAAAAAAGTCCACTTTCATCATCATCTGAGTCTACAGTTGGAGCATAGTATAGTGATATTGAATGATTTGCCTCAAATATGGATAGATATGTGATCACCATATGCTCTGTGATTCTCAACACATTTAACCACTTGTCTGTTTATGTAGAATGCAATTTCTTTTCATCTGATGATATCATTTTCAGAAAAATAAAACATAAACTCTACTGATTTGAATTCATCACTGTCTGATCAGTGTAAGTCACTGATGCCAAGGATGTCTATGTTCATTTTAATCATTTCTTTATTTATAATTTTGAGTTTCCCAAGGGACATGTCTATAACATTCCATATTCCAATTTGATATAACTTTGTACAGTGTAGGCAACCTCTTTTGTTATGGGCATCATCAATTTTTGGACTTCACAAAGACCAAAATTCAACAATGCCATGAAAACTTACTAAAAGCTGGTCCTTGCTTTTCTCCAGTAGCTTGCACGCTACTATCCAGCCTGGACATTCCACTATTGGTATCCATGCCCGAGTCATGTTAATTTATTGCCATAAAGTGTTCTGGTGAGGTTTCTTTCTTTTTTCTTTTTAACCAGGATGTTCACCAATGCTTTCCATAACCCTCCCATTTATCTGGGTTTGGGACTGGCATATGGTTAATGAATCAACCACTTGATTGGATTTGAATAGACAATTTTTATTCCTACCCTACAATGCATGTCAAGTTTCTATCTTTGTTGTTCTGCATTTAAAAAAAATCAGACAAAGGATTCCTTTTGTCTATGACTAATATACAAAAACTGGAACCCTGGAAATATTTTTGACTCCAGATGATTTTCTAGCTAGCTTGAGTAACCATTTCTTTGCTTCATAGTAAGGCCAAATTTGATCCAGGTTTGGATATCTTTTCATTTCATAAATTCAGATTCATTTTTCTGTGTGACTCCCCTTTTCTACCAATGTTTTCTTCTTCTTTTTTTTAGTTTGTAAAACTTGCATTGTCCGTTACCTGGAGACCAACAAGTACTGCCCAATGTGTGATGTACAAGTTCATAAAACAAGGCCTCTTCTCAGTATCAGGTATTATACGTTGTTTTATACTCCAGTTTAAGACTACTTGTATTTATCACAGATGGTGCCAGGTGGAGCCATATATTAGCTTGGAGACCTTGGTCCTTTCTAAATTTGGTTGTTTGCTTGCAGACATTTCATTACTAGAGTAAGTAATGAAACTAAGTTACACACAGTATATTTTCTTCAATTGGTCACATATAGTAGTAACTGAAAAGGTTGCAATATGGCATCTACAATATTGTCTACAGTGGATTCTTATGTACTGTTACAATGCAGGAATCCAATAGTACCAATTGTTCACTTTCCTACAGCTCTGCATTTGGAGTTGAGAAATAACTCAGGGTATCACTGCATGCTATTTCTTTTTTACTTCACATGGTCCAGACTTAAGATCCAATGCTCTTTTCAGGCATCCTCACATTTGATGAAATGGTCTGAAGAGGTCTTGGTATTACATTTGTTTGAAGACAAATTCAGCTTTCTCTGCAATCTTGAACATTATTTTGTGGCAGCAAACAATTTATTTCCACACAAACCAATATGAATACTATTTCCATTCAGGATTCCAGTTCATATGTAAAGGTTGGGGACTTTATGCAGCTCTATTTCTGCCTAATTTCAAGCCTTCATGTGATCAGGCAAATACAAAAGGGGCTCCACTTTGCCTGTGCTTTGTTTTCGGAAAAATCTTCTCAGCATGATATGCTGTGACATCTTTACAATTTAAGATGTTTGTTATTTAGAAATGATAGATATTTCTCCTGCTTTGGCTATGACTACATCTTCTCCTATCAGCCCAAAATTTCATCTGCATTCCAGGTGTCCAGTTCTCAAACTGGAGCTTACAGGCAGAAGACAAATATGTTGTTGGACACTTTTTCCCTCAGCTAGTCCTCTATTAAAAAGATTGTTTTTGATTCTGCCATTTTGTAGATGGGTAGATCCAGTTTCTCCAGGTAGAAGTTGGTAGGGATATTGAGACAGGAGGCATTTGTATAACCTTGTTATGTTTTTCTACAGTTGGCAAACTGTATGATAAGATAAAGCTGGAATATTAATTAAAGAGCTCCATAAATTATAGTCCAGACAGAGCTCTTAAAGGAATCTTTAACTCTCACATGAAGCTACAATAATTATTTAACCTGAGTACAATTGTGGTTTATGGTATAGTGATCTATTTGACTTGGAACTTTTATATTAACCTCTTGCCAGAGGCATGCTTGCAGCTTGAATTCTCTTTCCTAAGAAATAAAATCCCAGGATAAAAGTCTGAATAAATTATCCAAATACAAAATACCTGTACAGCTATATCTTATTTATATGAATTTATTTTCTTTTACTAAACTTAGGGAGGGGCAAAAGACTGTACAGGTCAGAAAGTCTTGGCTTCCCTTTTACAGTTTGCCCAATTCCTTGCTGCTTTTTGAGGAGGAGATTCTATGGAGTCAATATTGACTCCTGATGACTGCCTCAATAAATCCCTCAGTTTTCTTGGCAAGGTTTCACAAGTGATTTGCCATTCCCCCACATCCTAGGGCTGAGTAAGAGGGATCGGCCCGAATGGCTACGGTAAGATTAGAACTCATAGTCTCCTAGTTTCCAGCCTGGTACCTTAACCATAGTGGCTCTCCTTTCTGCTACTAGAATAGACTAATTATTCCACTAATGTTTTACTCTTAACAACATGGCTAGAACACAAGTAATGATAACAACAACAACAACAACAACAACAACAACAACAACAATGCAGTTTTTAATTCTAGATCTTTGGCTTGATTGTAAAAATTCTTTGTAGTACAGACTTTTTTTGTTTTTTAATAAACTATCTCTATTCATATTCATGCAACGGTTGAATCAAGCCTACACTTCTTCCTCTTGTGGCCTTAAATGGCAAACTTACTGATTCCCTTTACAGCTAGTTTTCAGGGAAACCAGATGCACCTTAATGAACTCTAATGATGGTTGGCATAGAAACCAAGTAGGCCGCCTGCCACAGATACATCTTTCTGAGTGTATTTTTAGCACACAGTCTGTATAAATTAATTTATCTAGTAACACTTGAGTCTCCCTGAGAAATATTTACTAGTCTCACTCCAATGGGACTTTCATCAAAGGCACCCTGAACATTTGCTTATTCAGATTTAAACTCCAAACAGGCATGAGTTGCCACTATGTAGAAACAAGTGTTTGGAGGGGGGGAGGGGTGAAGGGAATCAACAAGCTGGTTAAAAGTGCAGCAAAATGTCAGTAGGATGTAATGATCAAGAGGGAAAAATAAAACCCAAGGAAAAACTTCAGTATATTATTAATGTCATATGTGTCACTAGAACAGCTTTCTGGCTTGTAGTATCCTTTGTAATGTTGAGATTACAGCTCAGAATTTCAAGCCAGTAAAGCTGTACTGAAGAATTGTTAAGCCTTTTTCTTATTGCAAAAAAATGTGATTGCAAGGAAGTGGTTACATTTCAGATTTTCTATAGTTTATACTGTATATGTGACTGCCTGTTTTGAACTGTGTCTTATCTGAATCATATTTGTACTTCTCTATCCATTGTTTTTTCATACAGTAGCACAGATATGCAAATGACATTTTGAAAAATGATTTCCTCTAGTTTCTTTGATCCTATAATGTTAAAAAGTACCACCAAGTTTTCAACTTTATTTGTGATCATGAAGGCAAACATTTTTATCATTTACATTATAGGAAGACAGCTTCTAGTTGATAGTTAGAAAAAACATCCTAACAATAATAACAGGTCATCACAGGAACTATTTATCAGGAAGTTCCTCCCTCCCTCCCTCACTATTATTGGTGGCTTTCAATATTCCACTAAGGACTAAGCCAATGGAGGGTAATTTGAAAAGACTTCAAGAAGTCTTCAATAATAATAGTGTAGAGGTGTTCCAAAAGAGGCAGAACAATTTTTAAAACTGTTTTGAAGCAGTTAGGGAGATTTTAAGGATGACAATAAAATAGGGACACCTCTGAAGACAAGCTACTCTACCAAAATGGGCCAAAAGGAAAAAAAAAGAAAAGATGATTTTTTCAGATACTCCAGCTGGACATCCATTCCTATATTTATTTAAGAAAAGGAAAAGAAAGAAAAAGATGGTACTGAAGTAGAGCCATTTTGCTACTAGATTTCCACAGTACTATTTTGTAGTAGTAGGGAACACAAGTGGCAGCTAATGGGCACAAATACTCCCTCAAACCACATTATGGCTGAGTATAATCTGTGAAGCCATTATTACATTGCCTGCTTTCTCACAACATAAACTAATATAGGATGGATAGTTAACATGCAGTGCATATTTCAGTGTTTGGGGTGGTTTTTAGAATAGGAATTTTAATCTAAGAATTCTCTGAGTTTGTTAAGAAGGTTATTTCCTTAAAAACAGAATGAGTTAGTGGGAACGGTCTGTGATAAGGTGCAGCATGGCACAATGTATAGGTCCAGGCTGCTGGAAACTGCTAGCAAAATGATAGGAAAGTGTTCTTTTCTCTTTTCAGTATATTGAACACACAATCTTATACTTGGTTGTCAACCATTAGTGGCTGAGTTCACAGAGTATGCTGGGCAAACCCAAATAAATAAAATGATGATTTAGTGTAACACGTGAACCAGGCCAAGAAGCTGCTGTGGACTGAGTCTCAAGCCTGTATGATTCATTGCACTTTGCTGCACCTTAGGAATAATAGTGCATCCTAGGCACTCTGATTAGAGCGCATTAAGTAAGTTATTGACTCAAGCAAATATAATGGCTTTCCTTATAACCCAGTTGCCAGTCATGCAGCCATTTGGCCAAACTTACTTTCATTAGTGCACCATAAATTATAAAACAACGTCAATATACATGGAATGAATAGTATTATAAAATTAGATGAGGTGTATAGGATTGCCAAATTGTGCTAATATGGTGGCATTATGAGGGAGTAGGAATACTGCTGGCCTAAATAAAAAGTGCCTATTAAATCAAATCTTCGGTGCTGTTCAACAGAAAAAATGTTGTTTGCTTTCAGTCCCTCTATAAATTACATATAGAAGCCCTACATAATAATAATTCTAAATTTTCTAAGATGTCACACACATAATACTAGGTTCCTAAAGACAAAACTAATAAGCATAGTCCTCCATCATTTCTCTATGCATTCTTAGTTTCACAGCAAGAAAAAATGGAAATTTAGGGCTCCTCCTCATATTCTCCTAATCATAGTATGAATGTAGTCTGATAATTTCTTATGTAGTGCAATGATGCTGCCTTTGTTTTGTCCCTAGTCCATTGCTGAGGCAGTTTAAAGACATTTTTAGTTTTTTAATGGGGGTTTTCCCCCACTCTTCTCTTGATGCAATTTTGGCCATGGACACAATTTAGGATGCTTAATCAAGAACCAGGTTGCTGGAGCGGTCATAGGAAGAATCAGCCCAGTTCCTATTATCTACCCAGTTCTCATTATTTGGGTATTAGCACTCAGTCTTGCATTCTACTCATTAGAAACTGCCCTTCAGAACTGTTTGGGCTTAGACTACAGCAAACACACAGCTTCATACAGAGATCATGTAGACCTGGAGGCTCCAACTGGTGCAGAATGCCGCGCGGGGGATTATGGGAGTGACGGGGCACTCCCATGTGACTCCTCTCCTGCGCGAGCTGCATTGGCTTCCGGTGGACTTCCGGGTGTGCTTCAAGATGTTGGTGATCACCTTTAAAGCGCTCCATGGCTTAGGGCCGGGGTACTTACGGGACCACCTTCTGCCACCAATAGCCTCCCACCGGCCAGTTCGCTCCCACAGAGACGGCCTCCTTAGGGTGCCGTTGGCCAGACAATGCCGGCTGGCGACCCCCAGGAGGAGAGCCTTCTCTGTGGTGGCACCTACCCTTTGGAACAATCTACCCCCAGAGATATGAGTGATCTCCGACCTCCGGACTTTTCGTCGGGCCCTAAAAACTTATTTTTTTCAGTTAGCTGGTCTGTCTTGATTTTATGGTTGGTTTTAAAATTTGATACGGATTTTAAATTGACAAGTTTTAAATTACAGGCCAAATTTATTTAATTATTTTAAATTTACTTTTAATTGTAACTTTATGTATAAATGTTTTTATTTTGGCTGTTCACCGCCCTGAGTCCGAAAGGAGAAGGGCGGTATAGAAGTTTGAATAATAAATAAATAAATAAATAAATAATGAAAAAAAGCAAGGAAATGGATCTACTCAACCAATTTGAAGTGCAACTCAATGAGAGTGGCCAATGGGAACAGGAAAGAAGAACAAGGATCCTATAATTGGGGCATTGGGACATGAATGTCACCATTGGTAACACTAGCAACTTTATTGTTAATTATGCTTATTCTGTAAGCTGCTTAGATTCATACTGTTTGAATCTTGTAATAAACAACAAACTATAGTATAGTAGGGAAAACAACAGTCCTGATGGCGAAGGGGTTAGAATTAAGCATTGCAGGCTAACTCTGCCCACAGTCTAGAGTTCAATCCTGACAGTGCTCAAGGTTGACTCAACCTTCCATTCTCCCTAGGTCAATAAAATGAGGACCCAAATTGTTAGCGGCAATATACTGACATTGTAAACTGCCCAGAGAGTGCTGTAAAGAACTATGGGGTGGTATAGAAGTCTTAAGTGTTATTGTTATAATGTGCTGATATAATTACAGGTGTTACTTTGAAAGGGGCAGCAAATAAATGAATTTTACAAATTGGCAAGTGATTGGGAAGGGAACCTTATGTGTTACTGCTGAGATCTATAAGTTTGTACCTTAGAACTGCTTCTGATCATTAGAAATTTAGATGATCCACAAGTTCAAATCTTTTTAAAGAAATAAAGTGGGTTTTTAAAGTGAAATTTGAAGTGTTAGCATGTTAAGTTGCATAGCCTTGCGTAAGATAAATGGAGTGTTTACTCACAAGGGACAAAAATGGATTTTTTAAATTTGTACAAAAGTAAAAGAGGTTATTTTTCCTTTCGGAGGAATTGAAATAGTTTTATATGAGGGTGAAGGTTCATTCTCCAACTTTGTAAGTTGGTTTCCGAATGTTTCATTACCAACCAAGGTAACATCTTCAGTGGAGTTTAGGAGATGTCAGTGTCAGTGTACTTTTATTTATAAGGGCTTCTGGTGTGGGTGTGTCAAGTGAGGGTCTTGTGATGGGTCTTGTGATGGGTCAGATGTGAATCATCAGTGAGTCTTGTGATTGGTCTTGTGATAAGGAGATTACATCAGGTCAGAGTCATTGGGAGGTGAACTGCTGGTGAGGCGGCTGGGGAGGTTGGTTGAGGGTCAGTGCTGTCTCTGGTTGGCTGTGTAGTTGATTTGGATTTTGAGGGATTCGTAGGTTGGTTGTAGGTCAATGTGTCTCTTGATGGAATTGCTTGTGGAGTGCCAGGCTTTGATAAACTCACGACCATGGTAGCATGGCTGATGATTTTTATGTTCCAATTGAGCGGGTGCTGTTTGATGTCAGTGTGGGTAGAGATTAAGGATTTGGGATTGTGGCGTTTGACTGCCAGCCGGTATTTGTGGATCCTGGTTTTTAATTGACATGATGTTTGACCCACATAGGTTGCAATGGTTACAATTGATTTTGTAGATTATTTTGTTTCTTTCATCCCTCTGTATTTTGTCTTTGGTTCTGGATAGTTCCTGATGGAGTGTGGCTGTAAGTTTGTGGGCTATTGCTATTCCTAGGGGTTGGAGGATTCAGGGTGTCATTTCCAACACCCCATAGATGTTACTAGATATTACCTAGCCTGGTAGCAAAACTTTTGGAAACCAACTGACAAGCTTGGAGAAGGAACCTTCACCCTCATCCTACACCCAAGCTACATATATTCACTACTATAGTTTTATATTTCCATTTACTCTCAATTAAAATTTTTGTTGACAGCCTGCTTATCTTATTTCAGATCAGATAAAACTCTACAGGATATAGTATATAAACTGGTGCCAGGACTCTTCAAAGGTATGAATTTGTGACTGCTGAGAATTTAGAGAATAGAATTTGGGACAGAGCTTCCTAGTTGACATAACACAATGCAGCAACTTGATTTGATTTTGATTTTGTTTTATTTTTAACATGGGGTTGATAAATAATAGTACATAATTATTAAGTAAGATAAAAGAATTTTGAAAAGTATCTTTGGACTTAATGCAAACCAGATTGCAGTTCTTTTTTTATAATTGCATAATTTTTTCTGAATAATAAATGTATTTGCAAAATGCAAGAGAAGGATGCCACTAAATGAATTACTTTTGCTTTCATTTGTAGATGAAATGAAGAGGCGACGTGATTTTTATGCAGCATATCCCCTGGCAGATGGTATGATGTCTGCCACATTTGTCTTCTGTTGTATGTCAATGTGCATTTTAAAAAACAGGTGTGATTTTCATTCCTTCTTTACTTGTTCAGTTCCCAACGGATCCAATGAAGACAGGGGTGAAGTTTCAGAACAGGATAAAGGGAACCTAACAGATGATGAAACGGTCAGCTTGTCCATAGAATTCTATGAAGGAATCAGGTAACCATTTAGGGAATATAAAAGAAATTATATTTTTCTGACATTTTTTCTGAAATTAGACATTAGATTTTTAATATTTTTATGTGTTTTCAGTTACTTGAAAAGTGGTTTAGTATCATTTAACTGTCCAAACTTTGGGCACAAGTAGTCCTCAATTTCTGACCATTCATTTAACAATGGTTGGAAGCAGGGGTGGGATCTACTTACCTTTACTACCGGTTCGCAACGGGGCCACACGCGATAGCAGTAACTGTGAGGGGGATCTTGGAGTTCTAGTGGACAGTCACTTAAATATAAGCCAGCAGTGTGTGGCAGCCACCAAAAAAGCCAGTGCAATCCTAGGCTCCATTAACAGAGGGATAGGATCAAGATCATATTGTGTTTGTACTCTTTTATAAGGCCTTCGTAAGACCATACTTGGAATACTGCATCTCGTTTTGGTCACCATATTATTAAAAAAATGTTCAGATTCTGAAATAATGAGTGCAGAGAAGAGTAACAAAGATGGGCTGAAGGCTAAAACATATGACGTAAGGACAAACTTTCATTTCCTTCTCACATCCTTTTAGACTACAGGATCAATGGAAGCAAAGGACGAATAAGACTTCAGACTGCTGAGGATTTGCTCCTGTATAACAGAGAAAGTTTTCATGTCCACCTCAAACCATTAGAATGTTTAGCACGGTATTATCAGTGCTGACTGGTATCATCTCTCCAGGGCTTCAAGAATACTTGTGGTTTCTTTTTGGAGATTTTGGTTATTGAACTAAGTATCTTCTTTTATATAAAGTAGAGGCTTTTCTAATGGCATATATAAACTACCCCTTTTCCACAATTAGCAATTTTTATTTCTGTTTTACAACAGGATTTTTTAAAATGTGTTTTTTATCCTTTTTTACTTTTTCTTTGTATGTGGGTATCTAGTGAGAATATGTTGAGGAAATGATTTAGAATGAAGTAGTTCTGACCAAACTTTGCAATCATGACATTTACATTTACCAGATACAGTGATACTTAAAAGTTTATGAACTCTTTTGATTTTTCAATACTCCTGCATAAATATGAACATAGCATGATCTATTTTTTACATGCACTAAAACTAGATAAAAATAACTCAATTATATGAATGAGGAAAAAACATTGCAGTGTATTTGTTCATTTATTTATTGAGGAAAATGATCCAATGCTACATACTTGTGCATTGCAAACTATGTGAATCTTTATTTTAATTATTATTATTTATTATTTATTGAATTTTTAAACTGCCCTTCTCCCGAAGGACTCAGGGCGGTGCACAACCACGATTGTAAGTAACTGGTGTGCTTCTATAGGGGCAGCAATAATGGCAACTATATATTTCTGATATCTCTTGATCAGTCCTGCACTGATCAACAGGAGGAGTTTTAGCTCATTCCTTCTCACAGAACAGCTGCAGATGAGTGATATTGCTGGGCTTCTTCACACAATCTGACCACTGCAGGTCCTTCTACATTTGTATAATATTAAGGTCAGGACTTTGACTTGTCTATTCCAAAGCATTAACTTTCTTCTGCCTTAACCATTCTTTTGTTGTATGTGCTTTGAGTTGTTGTCTTGCTGCATGATCCACTTTATTTTGAGCTCATGGACAGATACCCTGACATTTTCTCATAGACTTTGCTTGTACAACTCAGAATTCATAGCAATGAGGGCCAGCCAGCACCCTTGTTAGAGTGAGCAAAGCAGGTCCAAACCACAATGCCACTGCTACCATGTTTCATAGATGGAATAAAGTTCATTTGCTGGAATGTAGTTTGGCCTTTTGCCAAACATGACGTTTTTCATTCCAGTCAAAGGTTCAATATTGGTTTCATCTATCCACAGGACATTCTTCCAATGGCTTTCTGGCATATCTATGTGGTCTTTTGCAAACTAGCTGAACTAGCTCTTTATGGAAAGTAGTGGCTTTCTTCTTTTAACCCTACCATGTACACCATCTTTGTTTAGTGTTCTCCTGATGTTTATCTCATCAACACTAACATTCACAAATGGAGTAGAGATCTTTGATTCCTTAGATGTTAACTTGGGGTTCTTTGAGATCTCCTAGAGTTTAGACCAGTGGTTTCTAATATGGGGTCCACGCCCCACAGGGGGGCAATTTGATTTTTAATGGGGGCAATTTGAACCTTGTTTAAACCAAATTAATGGCCTTTTAGGCTTCCTCCACATGAGTAGAATTCACTTTTCGAGTAAAGTTAGAATGATATGTTACAGGGAGGGCATCAGGATTTTAGAGATGCTTAGGTGGGGCATGGCCAAAAAAAGGTTGGGAACCACTGGTGTAGACCATTACATACCTTGCTCTTGATGTGATCTTGGTTTGTCAACAACTCCTAGAGAGGATAACAATGGCATTGAATCAATTCCATTTTTACACAATCTTCCTATTTCCTTGGAAATAGATTATAATGTTTTTCACCTTGGTGAGCACAACCAACTTTTTCAGAGATCCTCCTTTGTTCAAGCTATGCCATACCTCTGTTGCAAAGAAAGTGAAATCCCAGAATTCTGTTTTTTAAATAAAACAGGATTTCCCAAACTGACATCTAATTATCATCTTATTGACTGAAACATTTGCCTCTAATTACTCCTTCAAATGAATTGATAAACCTAGAAATCCACATATTTTTTGCCATACATAGATATGTAGGTTTGGATTATTTTCTTTAATGAATAAATGAACAAACAATGTTTTGTTTTTTGACTCATTTGCTTAATAAGGTTCTCTTAATCTGTTTTAGGACGTGTGAATAATAGAGCATGTTTTAAGTCATACTTATGCAGAAATGTTGAAAATTCAAAAGGGTTCACAAACTTTTAAGCATCACCATAGAAAGTTATATCCTTTCTCAGTACAGTTCTTGGCCTCTTCCTAATTCTTATTATGTCTTATTCCCTATCTTCAGTTTGCACTGAGAGTTGGCTAATTTATATCCCCTTTAAGTTAATTTAACAAGAGATTACACATAGGGTGAAAGGACAATACTAAGGGTGGAGCCATTAATAGCATATGTCCCATTGCTTCCTTTTTCTAAGGATAGGTTCCTATTTTCTGAGATTTTTTCTTGTAAAGTCTTATGCCATTAACACTGGAGGAAGATATTTTACTGCGTAAGCCACAATCACAAACAGTGCTCCCACCCAAATCAAGGTGCTTAGTCTTTAATACTGATTTTATTTTTATATACCATTAGAAAAAAAAAGTGTACTCTATAATTTATATAACTAAAATGCATGCAGAAATAATCATATTTCTGGATTCTGGTGACCTGGATATATTTCATGTAGTAAATGAATTAACTTTCTAGCTATCTCTTTATCTCTATAGAGGTATTTCAGTACTTATTGTTACTTGATTCCGGGAAGCATGATGAGTAGCAAACAATTTTTTCCCATAAGGAATAATATAGTGAATCACAAGGCAACCGACACTGACAAGTTCTAGCTTGTCTAAACAAATGATGACAACATTTCACATCAAAATGTATTGAGTACCAAATCTGATGAGTTTCAAAGCAGTTGACTATCAAGGTACCACTGTATTTGTATTTGTACACATATTTAACTCATTTTCTTCTTAATTCTTCAGAGATGAAAATAGAGGGACTGTTGAAAATGGAAACACAGAAAAAGATAAGGTGAGGTACATCATGGTGTGAGTTCTGTATTAAATTTAAACAGCTGTATGTTCTAAAGGCTGACCACCTTTATAGCAGCAAACAGCTAGAGTTTTCTGTGTATATTTGTTACCATCTAGTGGCAATATGCATTCTCAAATTGTGTAGCCTTAGTATATTATTATTTGGAAGCAAGTTACAGGATATGGAGTAGATGTGGAGAAAAATATTTATATGAAACCTAAGCTTTAATCATATTATTAAAAAGAATCCTGAACCTGGGCTTAAGTGAGCTCCTAAGCATACAAATGTCAGCATTGTTTGCTTTAATTTCCGCTACTTTCTTTTCCATCAATATGACTTCCATATTTCCTTTTTTTTTCCTGTTTTGTTTCTTTATATTTTGCCTTTCCCTTTCCTTTCCTTTCCTTTCCTTTCCTTTCCTTTCCTTTCCTTTCCTTTCCCTCCTCTCCCTTGCAGACTCTCTCTCCTTCTTCCAAACTCAGGCTTCATCCGCCCCCCTTTGCTGTATACCACAAAGACATCCAAATTACATCTCCTGGCTTTTGCCTGTGATCTGAGAACTTCTTCCACTCCTCCCCCAACCTTCACACTTTAATTTCCATACCTATTTCAACTTCAATCTCCTGCTGTGCAGTCCGGCCCTCTCCTATTAAAACCATCTCTCACCTCTCTCATATTCCCCTGTAGAAGAACAGCATGAGATTCCTCAGATGTCCTGCTGCTATGACTATCATGCACCTGGCTAAGTTCCTCCGGAACAAGATGGATGTTCCCACCAAATACAAAGTAAGTTTCAGGCAAGCACCCACCATTCTCCTGGTCCAAGGGCTGAAGTTTTTGCTGGTCTTTTGTATATTTACAGTTCTTCATAGCTAAAGGTAAAAAAAACCCAAATCTGCAACTCTTACTAGTTTCTTCAAAAACTAAATTTAGTTGGTTAAACTAAAAAATCAAGATGCAAGAGTTGTAGTTTGTATGTTCTCTATCTCTCCATTCACCCAAAATCAAGAAGGTAGAATGGAATTTGTTATTTTAAGGATTTAACAAAAACTTAATACAACATCATTTTCCTAATTATTTATTAAAACAATGTGGTTAAATATTTCCACGCACAAGGGATCAACCAGAATTTATTTATTCTCCTATTGGATCAATATTATTGCATCCCATTCACTCTGAAAACAGTCTCTGACTGTTTTCTATTATAAACTAAGCCCATTGTCTGGATTATTGTGGCACAGATAAGATATGTATATGTATTTTTTTTTTCAAACTCAACCTATATTTCTTTCTTTATAACTCCATATGAAATTAGGCTGAGAACTAACTGTGGCTTACAGATTTCCTTATCTTCACAGCTTGACAAGGAGAGGGGGAAGGGAGGGGAGAGGGAAGAGAGACATTAAGAAATGCAGGTTACTGGATTGGACTTCTTGGGAAGACATGGTGGACTGAAGATAGCTTTTCAAAAAGCGGAGACAATTGCAGCAGAATGAAGAGTTGGCAAGTAACCTGCCTCTTTATTAATTCTTAGCCAAGGAGAGGACTTGAGATCACCCACAAGTGCTCCAGAAAGCTGCTTCTCATGAGGACACCTCAATACAACAATCGCCAGTGTTTTTAGAGCTCTGAGAGACAAAGGAGTAGCCATCTTGGTCAAATTATATTTGGCCTTTAAAAGGCCACTGGGTTTGCATAGATCCTTTCTAATCACTTTCAGGAACTATTTGTTAACTGATCTTTGGTATGACAAGGTTTAATAACAACAGACGAGTTTCTTTCAATCATTATCAAAAGAAGTTTTAAATATAAGTTGAAGGATTTTTTTTGTAATAAACAGTAAAAGAATGATTAAAATTTTGATTTTAGAAATTTAGAAACATATTAAGGGTCCAATTAAATTTGAAATAAGTTTTGGGAATTAATTATAGAGAGACTTTAATGTGGGGACAAACTTCTATTTTGAATGCTTTTAAAAAAACAGAATAAGATTTTAAAAATTGGATGCTAAAGGATACTAGGAGAAACTAAAAATTATCTTTAAAGGAGAACACCATTCAAACTCAGTTTATTAATACAGAATTAAGCAAAATATTTTAACATTGGGCATACTGAAGGAAATTTTTAGATAATGAATCTAGAAGTTGACTTACTGAATGTCTAGCTTTATAGTTGGACTGCATTTAAAAGTTGTTATGAAAGAGGAACAAGTTTTACATTACAATATTGAAAGTGACATTCAAGTGAATTTCAAAACAACAAGCTATATGATTGACATAGAAAAAGCTATTGTATTGGACATACAACAAAAATCAGCTGATGTCTTAATAATTAATAGAAATATATCAAAGAAATAGCAGCCTTGTCAGGTGCAAGGAACCAGGAAAACATAATGGATCAGAACTATACATTTATTGCTAGTTTTCTATTGACAGGAATCTAGCTAGAATAATGCACTCACTATGGAAATTGCTAGATAATCAGTGCAAGGTTTAGAAAAGACCTGCTTTCTATCACTTCCTCTCCATCTGCAATTCAAGGCTAGTCAGTCTGTCCACTCCTCCCCTCCCTTCAGCTACAGATTTCACTAAACAACACAAGAGAGTGACCTGGATAATTTTCCTACACTGGATTTATCTAGAAGTTTTGTTAAAACTTTGAAAAATTTTATGAGACAGGACAAAATGAAAATAAATCAAATTCTAGGACAATTCAAGGGGTTATCGAGATTTTTAGATGTCTCGGAATATAGGAGAAGGAAGGATATAAAATTGATATATTTGATCAAGGTTAAAATAGATGTTATTTCTGCTAACACTTAATGGACTTTTGCTGACACTAGAGCCGAAATAATGAGGTTTTATTTATAGATAAGAGATGGGATATGGGAAGAAGAAATCATTTGTTGTATTTTAAGAAAAGATGGTAAGTTATTAAAACTGTTTATACTTGTGAAGAAGGTGGGAAATATATATTTCTTTTTCTTTTTCTATATTCTCCATTATTTTGTCCTTTATATTTTTCTTTATTTTGTTTTCTTTTCTGCACCCTTTATTTTTTTATTCTCTCTTTTTAGTTTGTTTTTATTGTGTAGTTGTAAATTTAACTAAATTTACTACCAAAAAGAGATATTCAGATTACTGAAATCTGTTCCATATTTAATATTTATTCCATATTTAATATATTTAAATTTATGCCTGTGTCATATAATTCTGCATGTCTTAAACTTTGTTTATTAGGTGGAAGTTCTCTATGAAGATGAACCTCTAAAAGAATATTACACTCTCATGGACATAACTTATATCTATCCTTGGCGAAGGGTTAGTAAGAAAAAAAAATGCTCTATTTGAAAAAAATTAACTTGCATCATCTTAATGAGATTTAATTTTCACACTAATGAGCAAATTTGGACAGATTTTTAAATTTCAATCTATCAACATGAGAATTAAAAAACTTAGAATTTTTAAAAACATCTGGGACTGTATTAAAACGTGTTCATTAATGGAGAAAAGGGAAAGATAAATTAACAGCTTAGTCAGCCTCTTGAAAGTTGGTAATCCTATTCCCTATAATTTTAGTTACCTTGCTTACACATAATTTACCATAAGGCTAATAAAATTTTGAACTGCTCCACAAGATTTTGCAGTAAAATATACTATTGTCCAGCCTTTTAAAGCTGGCAAACTCAGGAAACAAGAACCACTTGGATTTCTTGAATGATTTTTATTGCAAGTAAGGTAATATAATAAAATCTTGGGAGCCTGCCAAAATAACTCCCCAGATCAATGTACACCCAAAGATTTCTTTTGCACACTTTGCCCTTCCTCTGGACTGAGGAATCTTTTAGTAACAGGCTTACTGCATTCTGTTTGTCCCCAAGGTCTGTTAGGGATTCCATCTCAACTACAGAAAAATACAATCATATTTCAGTAAAAAATTTTTAGAGTGATATTTGTCCATGAAGAACATAATCCACATTTTTTTAACAGAATAAATCAAAACCAATCCATGTGTTTCGCTTATCTTTACCCAGAAGAGAAAAATAAGGGAGTGGAAACTGATTTTTTAAAAAAGAGTCACATTATAAAAAAATCCTCTGAACTTTTAGCTTTACTTTGGAATGAAAATAGGAATTCTGTGAATTGAAGATCTGAAGGATGCCAGATTCAAGAAGCTTTTTAATACCCTGTTTCTCCCAAAATAAGACATCCCCTGATAATAAGCCCAATCGGGCTTTTGAGTACACGGCAATAAGGCCAAGCGCTTATTTCAGGGTTCAAAAAAATATAAGTCAGGGTCTTATTTTCGGGAAAACACGGTACATACCAGATAGAAGTGCACTTTCTTCTCCATTCAAAGACATCCTGAAATGGAGAAGAAAACAAATTAAGATTCAACTAATTTTACTTTTGTTTTTTGTTTTGCTTTGTTTTGTTTGTGCCTTTAAGTCAGTCTTGATTCTTGATGACTGCCTAGACTAATCCTTGCAGTTTTTTGGGAAATGTTTTGGAAGTGGTTGTCATTGCCTCCTTCCTAGGGCTGAGAGAGTGGGCCAAAGTCACCTAGATGGCTTTATATTTAAGGCAGGACTGGAACTCACATTCTCCCAGTTTCCAGCCTAGCACCTTAACTATAACATCAAACTGTCTCTTTCCAACTAAAAAACATATAACTTAATTGTGGGCTTAAAGATGCTTCTTTTTAAAAATTGCAACTGGACTGTTTTTTTCCTTGAGAAATCAGAAGATGTTTAGCTTCTCACCTAAGAAGCTTAATCAATTGTGAAGCTTCTTGGATGAAAAGCAAAATGTTTTTTTCTTCTTCTTCAAGGAATAAACAGTCCAGCTGCCTTTTGAAGAAAAAAAAAAGCACCTTTGAGACAACTATCACCTGGATCACTGAGAATCTCTGTAGACATTAATTGTTGGCTATTTAAAAATTTTACATATGTAAAAAGAGCATTCAATAGTTCCAAAACATACTCTAGGTTTAGTTGGGGAAAGCCCTTGTATGACCACACTAGAAAGTTTGGCTTATTATGTGGTGGTTCTGAGTAGAAGCAGAGCATCATTTAAATTAGGCAATAACTAGTTCCTGAGCAGGTAAGAGGTAGAGCAAATTATGCAACAGGAGGTGGGACTGTAGGACCCATAGATTCAAGAGATAGATTCTCACTGTAGATTCTCTTTGTTGCCTGTTTTTTTGGGGAACGGAGGGTAAATGCCACATATTTAGTCTGGACCATTTCTTGGCTGGCATCATCAAGCATCTTTTGTGAAGTTATGCTGCTGCCCTTTTGACCTATAAAGGATGCTGCCCACTATCTTGCAAAAGCATCCTGTCTTTTGTGGGGAGCCAACTTGTGAGCTATGAAAGGTACCAAATTGCTTAGTATTCCTCACCTTGGTAAACAGAAAAAAAAAAAATTAAAACCTGGTGCATGAACTGGACCAAACTAGGTAAATAACTCCTTGGAGATGTGTCGTCTTAGTGGTAGTGATGGTGATTATGGGACTCTCTCCACAGCCAGTTCTCAAAATTCCTGGTTTTAAACAAAAGCTTAGGACATCCACCTGTCTGTCAGCCAACTAATCAACTGATCAACCAATACTTATATACTGTCCCAATCCAGTAGATGCACTAAACACTGTATAAAATCATGATGTTTTATTTAAAATATACTTGTTCACTCACAATCCTTCTTAAGGGGCTAAAGGCCTGCTTGACACAAAACGTTTTTCAGTATTTTTAAAAGTCAGCAAAGTGTCCAGGCGTATCTTTGCAAATAGCGCATTGCATGAAGAGCCAATAAAGATAGTCCTCTGCTTAAGACTACAATTAGGACCAGAATTTCTATTGCTAAGCAAGACAGTTGTTAAACGAGTCGTACATGATTTTATGACCTTTTCATCATGGTTGTAGCAAAGCATTGCAGTTGTTAAGTGAATTATGTGATTATTAAATGAATCCAGCTTCCCCATTGATTTGGCTCATCAGAAGCTGGCTGGGAAGGCCACAAATAGCAATCAACATGCTCCAGAATGCTGCGACCATTGTAAATACTGTACATGCCAGTTGCTAACTGCCCAAATTCTAATCCTTTGACCATAGAGATGTTTCAGTGTTGTAAGTTCAAGGACAGGTTTGTAAATTACTTTTTCCAGGGCCGTTATAATTTTGAATAGTCATTAAATGAATAGTTGCAAGTCAAGGTCTACCTCTATTGGGAAAACTTGCCTTCTGGATTTGTTATCTCTCATGAGATGGAATCTGGGAACAGGGCCTCTCTATGTCTGGACCGGTATATCAAAGATCATATTTAATAAGATGGTCTCTGGTACATGGTTATTTGCACTGGATAAAATAACTGCCTGAGGACCATGCCACTAAGTCAGTATTAAAATATACTGACAAATGTTTTAACTGTTGTATAGCTGCATTTTTATGCCTTTTTTGGTTTTATAATTGTTAAAATTATTCCTGATGTTTTACTGTGCTTCTTTGCCATTGTTTTCTTTTGGGGAAACAACAATATGCAAGTTGCTAATACGTTCTGTTTCTTTCCTTCAATAGAATGGCCCTCTTCCACTGAAATATCGTGTTCAACCAGCCTGCAAGAGGTTAAAACTGTCTTCTCAGCTTCCCAACTCAGAGTGCACCAACACCAGTGGGGCTTCAGAGTGTGAATCTGTCAGTGACAAAGCTCATAGCCCAGCCACCTTGCCAGCTACCACCTCCTCCTCATTGCCAAGTCCTGTCACACCTTCCCATGGCTCCCCAAGCTCCAATATCACCACTGTAAGCATTCCAACCCACCCTGCTACCAGTGCCATGCTAAATGGCACCTCGAACTGCCACCAGATGCAACCTTTGGCCAGTAGGGGGCGTAAAACAATGGTCAATGGTAGTCCAGTTATGTCAGCCTTGACTTAAAAGGAGCATTATTTTTATTGGATCCTGAGTTTTATATATATTATGTATAGATAAGGACAGTGGTGGATGGGATGGGGAAATTATACATACTTATTTTCTACCAACTGATCTGATTTAATTTAAGAAAAATGCAAAAAGTAAGAAAAAGAAAATCCAAACACTTTTTTTAATTTTTGAAATAAAAATTGTGATGTTGTAACTGCATGGTGGCATTTGTATAAAAACTGCAGCCCTTTCTGGATGATGATTATTCTTTTTATTATAATTATTTATGTCATTGATTTGTAGTGAGATTTGATGCACAGTCTTGGAGAGAAAAAAAATGCACAGTCCCAAATCAACCAGGCTCTTGTAGAAGCACATATGGCTTTCCTGGCTCCTTTTGTCAGATGACTGCCAAAAGGAGCCAGGAGACTGATTACTTCCTTCCCCACCCATCCCCAGTCCATTTTATGCATGTCCATTCCAATCATGTAATTTTTATCCCTCTCTCTTAAGGATCTTGGTTCCAACACTTGTCAAATCAAGCTGCTGTTAAAGAGAAGGTAGTAATAGACATTTTTGTGCTTGGAAAGGGGCAACAATGTGCTAATTGTTTGTGATGTTACGGGTGCTAGACATCATAGATATGTACTATATCCAGAACAATAACATGGCCTGGATTCTAAAGCTGCCTCTTTGGTGGCAGCAGGTTCCCCGTTAATGGTTTAAAACCACATCTTCTATAATCATCAGTTGATCCCGTATTAAAATAACAGTATTGAGGGTAGGTCTTTCATCTCCACAGCAATGGAGGATGATGCTGGAAGACACAATAAGTTACAAGAGGGGATCCTATCAATGTCTGAAAAGGCCTTGGTCTAGTAATTAATCAATTCTTATGTTCCACTTGTTTTTCTGTTCAGAAAATGCAGAATTGCAGTTGAAAGCTGAAGGGATACAGTGCCTTCGACTGGCATAACATCACTAGCCCTTCGTGTGGAGCCGTTTACATCATTAACCACAATATGGTGGCCTTGGCGCCTTGTGCTAAGCATTTAGTTGCTGGAATAATTGTTTTGAAGCTTCACCTTTTATTCATATGCCCTTTCTTACATGTGTTCATAAGATCTCTGTTTTCAGAGTACATCTTTGCTCTGGTTTTAAATCTTTTCATTCATATATTTCCCTACTGAACAGTGTGGGACAGTTCGCACGCTAGCAGTTCTTTATCAGAGATCTCTTGGTTGTTTGCGTACATTGGTTCCCAGGACCTGGCAAGAAATGGGCTAGGGACGATTCAGAAAGTCCACTATTTCCATATGACTTTCCTAAGTAGATTTGGCTGGCTAATGTAATAAGCAAATGATTCATCCATACAACTCTTTGACCTTTATTAGAAAATCAGTTTTATAATTTTTATAATTCTTGTTCTAAGAGCTATGATACTTGATAGTTGTTTAAATTTGTAGTGTAGTAGAAATTTCCACAATTAGTATTAATTTCCACAATTTGAATCCATGAAATTCCTGCTGCAATTCTCAGCATTCAGTTTATAGAAGGGGTGTCAAATTCACGTCATCACATTGTCACATGATGTATCACAATTTCCACCCCCCTTTGCTAAATCAGGGTGGGCGTGGCCAACATGTGACGCATCTGGCCTGCAGCCGCAAGTTTGACATCCCTGGTTTATTGTATACCATAGTATAGATATTTCTCAAATTCTGTGGTCCTATGACTGCCTAAAATAATTAATTCATGGGATTTCCTCTCCTCCACAATAAGGTATTCCTCAACCTACGACCACAATTGAGCCCAAAATGTATGTTGCTAAGCAAGACTGTTAGTGAGTTTTGCCCCATTTTATGTTTCTTGCCACAGTTGTTAAGCAAATCACTGCAGTTGTAATATGGTTATTAAGTGAATCTGGTTTTCCCATTAATTGCTTGTCACAAAGTTGCAGAAGGTGAGCCCGGTACATTGCAACCATCATAAATATGAACCAGTTGCCAAGCATCTGAATTTTGATCATATGAAGCTTCAATGGTCATAAGTGTGAAAAATAGTCATAAGTCACTTCTTTCAGTGTAACTTCAAACTGTCACTAAATGAATTGTTGTAAGTTGAGGACTACCTGTATTATTGATGGTAGTAAAAGCAGCTGTCATTTTTATTAGCAGCTACCTAAAATGCTGAGTATAGCGGCACATTCTCTTCTTGGCTTGAAGAAGGCCCCTGACCCTGCATGTCTTCTCATCAGCCATGTACTCTGCATGGTGTACTCCCTCCCCTCCTGCTTTCCGTAGGAATTAGAGCTCTGCAGTCTTTGCATTCCCAACTTTCGTACTTTTCCATCTTTTAGCAATCCAGAAATGTGTGATCCCTTCCCCTTCCCCTGCTCTAATCCATTTATGAGCCGCTTGGTAGTCACAGTATTATAATCCTTGATTCAGCAAGCAGATTTGTTTGAGGAAAGCCAGAATTACCTTTTTCCAAGTCTTCGGAATGAGAAATATTTTTATAGCCTTTATAGAAATCCATTCTGCATTTTTAAAAAAATGTTTGTTTAATCTTGTAAATTTGGGTTGGAAAAATAAATACAGTGCCTTTCCAAAACAAATTTTATTAATATACTAAGGTGGTGAAAAGAGATTTGTGATTTAAATTGATGGGGATGTGTGGGTGGAATCTTTTCTTGTGCTAATTTGTGCTTCAAGATGGCCAGATGGAAATGCACAACTTCCAAAGGGAAGAGATTTCTTCTTCCACCACTTTCAATCCTTTCCCTTTAGAGAAGAACATGGTACCTAAAATTATTTCCCTTCTCCCCCTTCCCTGCTTTTCCCTTCCCTTTCCTGCTTTTCCCCTCCTGTCCCTCCCTTCCCTTCTCCTCCCTTCCCTTTTCCTCCCACCCCTCCCTTCCCTTCCCTGATTTTCCCTTCCCTTCCCTTCCCTTCCCATCCCTTCTCCTCCCTTCCCTTCCCTTCCCAGTAGGAAGGATTAACTAAACATAAGCACATTTTCTATTTTTGAAAATTAAATCCCAGGGATTTTGTTTTTTTTCCCTGTAGTTGTTTCTCCGAAAAGCAGCTATTCGCACAAGTGCAATCCATGTTTGGAAATAAATTTTCATAGATAACTCAATTGTGCCAGGAGTATAAAAAGCAGCTTCTCATGTGGGGGAAAAGATGCAATGGGTAGGAAGAGAAAAGGTTTGTTAGCAGCCTGTGGTGTGTTCCTTTTAGGCTTTTCCTTTTCTACCCTATGCTTCTGAGCCAGATCAACTACCAGCACAATAAAAGCAGTTTAAATCTGCTCCTACTCTCCAGCTACTGTCTATTTTAAGAGTCTGGTGGACTTTGCACAACATGATATTTGAAGAACAGTGTATTCTTTCCCTTTCGCCTGTCTCTTTATGTGTGCTCACAGAATGAGAAAAAAGACTCACTGCCCTAAGAAGAACCCCCCCTCCAAATTCTCTCTTTTCCCCCTGACCCTTCCAGAGGCAAGACTATAAGACTGCTTTGCTGTCAAGCTGACTCTTTCTATACCTGCTCCTCTTAATTGTCTCCTTGTTGCTTATTCTGTCTTCCAAGTAATGCAGAGCAGTAGCTACCTTGAATTAATTTCCTTGACTTTTTAAAATTTAATGTGTAAAGAAGAGAGTGGTCGAAGTTTTGTGCTTTCAGGATCATTTGTGATAGTGCCATAATGTCAAGTGTAAGTGTATGCAGAGGAAACATGATAACAATGCCAGGCATAAGTAATCTGTTACTGTGAAAGTACTGTGATATTTAGGGAAATAAATTTAGAGCAGGATTACCTACACTGGTCTAAAATGGTTCTGTTCACCAGTCCAGTTCTTTTTCTTTAGAAGAACCACCTTCTGTTACTCTAGCATAACTTGCTGGCAAATTGTTTTGCATCTCTTGCCACTGAATTGGTAAACTGGAAAAGTCACCATCTTCCATTGGGATGAATTTGGCCCTGGGGCTTCCAGTTGCCGTCCTAGACATTCATTAATGTTTTGTCACACTGAGGTACTGAAGACTCGGAAGGGATATGGTAGTACTACAGCAGTTTTCCTGAACCCAGTGCATTGGATTATGTGACCCATTGTCCCCAGCCATCATTGTGCTCGTTCTAGTGATCATTTCTTCTTATCCTATTGGCTGAGAATGTATTTGGTACTTCCAGTGGCATTAAGCCATGTTGAAAAGTTGCTGGATTTGGAAATTGGGAAAGTTTTTCTGTCTTTGTATATACTGAATAAACTGACCAAGGCAATTAAGAAGCCTAATGTTTTCTTCTCCTTTTACTACTTCCCCTTTTTTGTATTTTTTTTTAATATGGTACAAACCAAATTGTTATGTATGTTTGCAAACCTATATGATGTTTTAATGTGCTGTAATATATTCTGATATTCATATATTGTTATTGGTTAAAACATTTGTATCAATAATGCAGTTTGTAAATGGTAATAAATGATACAATTTTGTCCTTCAGTCTGTGGTCTGGAATATTCTGATGGTTTGTTGTGTGTTGCAAATTTTGTTTTTCCCTCAGATTTCAGGTTATGCAAAAGAATCATAAACTATTGCACTTATAGAGGAAAAACTCATTAAAGGAAAAATGGTGATGGATAGGTATTATTTTAGAAGTAGTGGTAGGGTCTAAAGTGCTGATCATGGTATTATGATCCTCTAATCTGGTGCTTTTGTGCTGTAGTAAGACTACAATGTCCATAATTCCTTTGTATTATAAAAATTGTAATCTCATTAAATCTGAAGGGTAACAGGAATGGGAAGATGATAAAAAAGTAGCAATTTAAATTGTGATTTGCCTACTTAACATTGTCATATTTGGATATCCTCTATTGAATCTTGTTTCCTCATAATCCCTGGCACCTCAATTTGCCTTTTTAATGTGTTGCTCACATAACATGGGTGGGGTTTTTTTTTGAGAGCTGAACTAAACAGGTGTTTAGTTAATAAATGTGTTTCTTCTTTCAACTGCACATTTGAAACATAATGAATGTGGCTGCTATGGAAGATGATGGCCTTTCTCAGGACTGCAGGCAGGCAGGCAGATGGCCCAACATTTTGAATAGGGGGAGAAGACACCTTGGCACCAATAGGCACCTATCCCAATAGAAATACCTTCAAGGTAGACCCTTCCTCCCCAGCATAGAAGGCTTTCCCCCCAATTCCTAATTAATTGGATTCAGATTTTAAAAAGTCTGATAAATAAATACTGTATTTTTACTGTATTATTATCCCATTTCCTTATCAAGGAATGGGATAATGGGTGACCAGCTAGAAAGCATCCCAAAATGAGGCATTCAGGAAAGGGTTCTTTAAGCAAGTTGTCACTGCTTTCTCTTGATGCATAAGAGATTCACACTTTGACCTTAGTCCTTTCCTTCAGAAAAACAAGGGTCAAGCATACATTATGTCTGTCTCATTTGTCCAAGATTCTGTCTGCATTCTCAGATAAGATGATACAAAGGCCATTGTTGCATCCACCAGTATAGGAAGGTTAGTAACGGGTGGGTTCTATTTACCTTTACTACCGGTTTGCAATGGGATCGTGCACGCCCGCTCTCCACCAGATGCACTTTCCTGGGGGCAGCATAGCGCCTGCTACCCCAATAGGGAAGGCACTGGGCTCCATCCCGCAGCTTCTGCTGCTGCCATTGCTCATTGCGTCCTGCCTGGTCCTGCTCTGTGCCCAGATCCTCTGGGACAGAACTGGGTGCAGAGCAGAGCCAGACAGGACACAACAGGCAACAGCCATCTCCTAAAAGGCTGGGGAAGGGAAGGCTCTGTCCCCATCTCCCTCCACCCCCCGCCAAGGTAGGCAATAAAGCAAAGCTAAAGCAATCACTGGGTGCAATTAATAATGAAGTCTACTTGCATTTTAATGGAAGATGGGGAGGACTTATCTTTTCTCAAGCCTGTAGTTCCCATTCAGGGCAACTGAATGCCTTAGAAATGCTAGGCAGCCCCTGGCTTTTTGTGTCTCACCCCCATCTCCAACCCTGTGTTTTGAGATCTCCAGCCTGAAGAGTTGAGGGCAAGTGCGCAAAAAACTGGCACTGCTTCCCTCTCGGGGAAGGCCCTTCACTGTCCCTCGCAGAAGTCCAGCTGCCCTGTTCTGCCTCCCACTGCCAGGAAAGGGGGCTGGTGGGATTGCTGCCCTCATTGCTCTCAGTTTACCCTAGGCTTTGGTGAGGGGCTTCATATCCCCTCTGAGACTCAGCCCAGTGCTTGCTTCCTAGCTGGATGGAAGGAACTGCCTTCTTATTTTGGATGACTTGCCCCCAAAAACTTGCTATTACTCACTTTCTCAGCCACACATTACATTTTTGTTCTGGAGGTCTTGGCAAAAACACGTGAAGAAATCATTTGAAGGAAGGGGGGGAAAAAAGATCTGTCCCAGGAAAACGATGCAGGCCTTTTGAATAGCAACACAAAGAGCTACAATCGTTTATATCAGGTTATGGCCACATGATGGCAACATGTGGCCATCCCAGCAATCCTAGCTACTCTGAACAATAGTCAGAAATGCTGGGAACTGGTCTTCGGACATATGTAAAGGGTATACAATTAGTCAGAGTCATCTTATTGCTGAGAGTTGTATAAATTTAAGAAACAGCTACACACACACACACACACATACACACACACAATACACACTCTTATACATGCCTGTTCTTGGGAGTAGTAGGGCTTAATTTAGGTAAGGGAGCCACTCTTGAAAACAGTTTTTAGATTGTTTATTTTTTAGTTCCAGACAAACATTGAACTGAATACTTCTTTCTCTTTTTTTCAGATATGCTTGATTGCACAGAAGCATTCAAACCATCTAAATGCCCTGGCCACCTCCACCTATGAAATATCTGCAGCAGTAGTGGGGTTCAAATCCCGGCGCTACTGGTTTGTTATCAGTAGCGTGCGGGCGCAGGCACTCGCTTCATGAGTGTATGGCGCTTCTGCACATGTGCAGAGCATTTTTGATGACATCTAGGTGGGTGGGCAGAGCCTCCCACCGCCACCACTACCGGTTTGCCTGAACCAGGGTGAATTGGGAGCAACCCACCACTGATTTGCAGATCCCCTCATTCCTATTAGCATGGAGGTGCACACACCAATATAAACAATGAGATGGATGGAAACAGAGGTGAGTTTCAGCAGGTTCTGATCAGTTCTGGAGAACCGGTAGTGGAAATTCTGAGTAGTTCGGAGAACTGGTAGCGGAAATTCTGAATACCACCTCTGACTGGCTCCGCCCCCATCTATTCTCTGCCTTCTGAGTCCCAGCTGATCTGGAAGAAATGGAGATTTTGCAGTATCCTTCCCCTGGAGTGGGGTGGGAATGGAGATTTTACAATATCTCCCCTGCTACGCCCACCAAGCCACGCCCACCAAGCCACACTCACAGAACCGGTAGTAAAAAATGTTGAAACCCACCACTGGATGGAAGGGTTGCTAGGCTGGGCATAACGAAGTCTTTTTACACTTTTTAAGTCCCAGTAGATCTGTCAACATTGCTCCCTTTTATTTAACTGTGCCACAATTACAATCCACCTGCGTCCCCCATCATACTTTCATTAAATCATGGATAGCAAAGCTAACAAAACTATCTTTTTGTCCCATGTTTCCATGGCATTCAAAATAAGGAGTATAATGGCAAAAATATATATTGACCCAATATAATACTTTCTAATTTATGGTAATTCACAAATGTTTTCCCCCAAGCAGAACATCAAAAAATATGGTTTGATTTGATCAAGTGCTTATAGCTATAATCAACATACTAATATTTTCTCTCCCAAGGCTGTTTTCTCCAAAAGGAAAAAGAAAAATTCTCATCCAAATGTCTTTTGTAATGGGCTAGCTGAAATCTTCAGCTTAACTCCTTCAAAACTATCCTTTTTAGTCTTCCTTGATTGGATTGCCCATCAGAGATTAGACACAGTTCCCTTTGAAAAACACACATTGCTGACATTCTCCTACCATGCTAATTCTGCAGTCCATAAAGGGGACAATTTTCCTGGGCAAGGATTTCTCACCCACTATACTTTCTGCTTTACAGATCACACATTCAACATCAGCCCTGTACAGTACAGAATTTCTGTCTGAAATCAGGGAAAATATTGTATCTTCACTCACTCGCTCTGTTTCTCTTGAGGTTTATCATCTTATTAAGGAAGTGAACTCCATACTCTTCAGTTCATTTATGCATTTCTAAGCAAATTTTCTGCTGCCATTGCTACATTCTGAAAAGCTTTTGAATACAGGTTTGATGTCATGTCATCACAATCTCAGTCACTCTCAGCAAAACCTTTGAATATTGGCTTACCTGCTGGGAGTTTCAGAGCATCAGCCTTTAGAAGCAATTACTACGTGCAAACCAAATAATAAAGATAGATAAATGTACATAGAAAAAAACATGGGCTGAGGAGACAGAAATATGTATTAGGAAGTTACTTTTTATATTTTTCATGTGGATGAAGGGATGATGAAATTTGAGCTCATCCATAATCCAATCCCCAGGGAGGAGGATTAGGCCTCACAGGCAGCCTACAAAACTACTTATTGTAGCTATTAGAAGCTGGTAATAGTTGATTAGCTGTTTAGTTTTCCTGGGCAAATGAAAAAAAGATAAACATATCAATATTTGTAGCATTAGGCTATATTATAGTACATCATAATAAGATTTACCAGAAATTTCCTTTCAAGCATTTACAACAGGGCATGCTTCCCAATATAGAACATACATATAATTTGAGGCTCCTCATGGACGCTAGTTCCTACTCTGTGCGCAAGTGGAAACTATGGCTGGAAAGGACCTTTGCACAAATACATCTTGTGTGGCAGTTATATCCTTTCTTGGATTGGAGATTTTTCTCTCCAATCCATGCCTTCTTTGTAGCTGCATCTGCCAAACAGAAACCATTCCCTCTAAGTGTGAACAGCTCCAGTCCTAGTCAGTTTTTATAATGTTCTGAAAACCCAGCTCCTAGATGTTAATGCTTTATTCTCTGGTAGCTTATTCTGATAGTTTAATTCTTCTGAGTTTGTTACACTCCTAATATATGGCTATGTATTATTTTTTGTTTATACTTTGTATTGCCTCGTTATAATCCAAATGTGTAAGCTACCTAGAGTTACTTTAGAGCTGTGATGGTGAACCTACAGCACATGTTGCCCAGCTCAGCTCCACCGCGCATCTGCACACACCTCCTGCTGGCCAGCTGGTTTTTGGAATGTGCGGGGGGCGGGGCACATGTGGGAGAGGTGCATGCATGTGCAGGGGGGTGACATGTGCATAGGTGGGGGTGGGGGTCACACATGCATGCACAGGGGTGGGGGCATCCCCCGTGGGCCATTTTTGGGCCGAGGAGGCTGCAGGGAAGCCAAAAATGGGGGGCGTGGGATCATGTGTGCATGTGCAGGTGGGCACATTGCACGTGTGTGCTTTCAGCACATGACGAGAAAAAGGTTACCAATCACTGTTTTAGTGTATGTTGTAGCAAACAAATAAATATATTTTCACTATACCATTATTGTAGTGTGACTTAAAGACCTACCCTAATTCAACAAACAGTTGGTACTGAATACTATCCCTGTTTACAAGAACAGCAATGACCAGGCCTTATTTGGGTTGATGCCTCTCCTGAATCCAGATGACTCCTCTCTCCTGCCATTCAACTGACATAATTGCCCTGGAAGATAATGTCCATTGACCATAAGGCAGAATATGTTTGCAGCAGCACACAACAGCCTAAAATGACTAATAGAAACTGGGCTTGACAAAGCATGCCAGATTATATCCATATAGTCCTCAATTTACAACCATTCATTTAGTGATGATTTGTAGTTACAATGACACTGAAAAAAGTGATTTATGACTGTTTTTCACACTTATGGCATCATAATGTCATGTAGCACCCTCCATAGTCATGTGATCAAAATCTGGATATTTGGCAACTAGCATGTATTTATGATGGTTGCAGTGTCCTGGGGCCATGTGATAACCTTTTGCGACCTTCTGAAAAGCGAAGTCAATGGAGAATCCAGATTCACTTAATACTGTTACACATAAAAAAGAAATTGCATGGATATATTTGTGACATTGGGAGATGCAGACTAAGAAAGGTCCTAAGTTTGGTGTTATTGAGCTTCTAACTCTCAAATCACACTTGGTCTATTAAAATAATCCTATATTCCAGGGTGGGCAATTCTTTTAGTGGTACCAACTGAAATGAGACAAAACCTGAACACAATTCTGACTTGTCCAGAAGTTTTCCTTCTGGAATAATGACACACACACACACAAAAAAAGGAAGATGCAAGAACATTAAAAGGTCAGATCTGATGGCCAAAGTGAACTTAAGTTCAATTCAATGTAAGAGTACTTCCTCACAGCTATGTTTTGTGCATTTTTCTGGTCTAAATTGTTAAAAATGCCCACAGCAGCTTTAATGGGCTACTACTACAAGTTTGGCAGATGCCAGCCTCAGACTATATACATGAAGCTTCTTAGATGAGAAGCGAAATGTCTTCAAAGAAAAACCAGAAAGTCCAGTTGTCTCTTGAAAAAGCACCTTTGGGACAACTGTGAACTGGATGATGAGAATCTCCATAGACATTCTAAGGAATAGTTTTATTGATCTAAAATAAACAGTAGATCCTATACCTGTGATGGCGAACCTATGGCACGCATGCCACAGGTGGCATGCGAAGCCATATTGGTGGGCACACGAGCTGACCTCTGGTGCACATGCATGTCCCGGCCAGCTGATTTTCAGGTTTACTGGGTCCACCGGAAGTTAGGAAACACAGTTTCCGGCCTCTGGAGGGCCTCTGGGAGAGTGAGGAAGGCTCGTTTTTCACTCTCCCCAGGCTTCAGAGCTTTTCTAGGAGCCTGAGGAGGGCGAAAACGGCCTTCCCTACCCCCCTGGAGGCCCTCTGGAGGCCAGAAACAGCCCGTTTCTCAACTTCAGGTGGGACCGGAAGGCCCGTTTTTTGGTCTCCCCAGGCTCCAGAGTCTTTCTAGGATCCCAGGGAGGGCGAAAACGGCATTCCCCACCACTCCGGGGGCTCTCCAGAGGCCGGAAATAGCCCATTTCCTGACTTCCAATCCCACCGGAAGTCTGGTAGCCCACCGTGCCATTGCATGCCAAAAGTGGGGGGAGTGCGGGGGGGTACATGCATGTGCGTTGGCTGGGGCACATAGAATTATGAGTATGGGCACATGCATGCGCGACCCCCCCCACACACTCCCCCCACTTTTGGCACTCGATGGCAAAAAGGTTAGCCATCACTGTCCTATCCTTTACAAATGTTCAAACTGTTTATGGATTTTCAGTATGTATTTTTGTATTACAATATTGTTCGCATGAACAAATTGCAAACGACATTATCCTTGCAATATAAACTTTTATTACATCATAATAGAAGGCTGACTAATAAAGTTGAAACAGCATGGATTTTATCATTGATGAAAACAGCAATGGCACTTCAAATATCAATATACATACCAGAGTTATAAACTTAGTTTCTGAAGTTTCTTTTCTAGCTCTTGCTTCTCCATTTCAATACATTTTTAGCACTAGCTTCTCTCTAGGCTTCTATAGTAAAATAGAAAATCCCCGTTATTCTATGTGGGAAAGAAAGGAGGTCCATTTTTCTTATTTAGTACTTTTTAATTATATTCAATTTCTTCCACTCTCCGTCTCAAGCAGTAGTGGGTTTCAATTTTGTCTGCTACCAGTTTGCTCATGGGCGCGCTCACAAGCACACGCACATGCAACACTTCTGCACTTGCACAGAGACGTCCGGGTGGGCGGAGCCTCCCACCGCCCCCACTACCAGTTCACCCAATCCGGGGCAAACCGGAAGCAACCCACTGCTGGTCTCAAGTAAGAGCAGTAGCTTTCCATCAGCAAAGTTTCAAAACTCTTGAAAAGTAATTATGATCTACTTTCTGATGAACAATTGTTTACTTACTTCAACTTTCACCTGTCCTTATGAGATAATACCTATACATATTTCGTTTTGAAGTCACCCATTTACTGGCCTGCTGGGTAATAGCTGTGTGTCCTTACTTCTGTAGTTTACTTTAAAGCTTTCCATCTTTGCTTCCTCTTGCCCCATGCTATCAATCCTTAATGCCTCACTTCTTGTTTCTGCATGATCATAAGTTTCATTTGAATTTTGGCATATGTCTATTTTTGTTCCCTTTGGGGTATTTTGACTGGAATTTATAGATCTTTACAGATTGTTTTTGTTTTTAATTGTTCTTGATATTGACAATTTAAAGACCTAAGACAGGAAGATCACAAGCTTCGTGACCAATGCTTACCTGACCTGATGGCAATGACTCACTCCCTAAGCACATTCCAGTTGTCTGTGGGAAATAGTTGCATCATTTCATTCCTTTTATTTGTTTTTATGCTCCTCTAAGTTAGAATGAAATTGAGTTTCCGGCTTTATATAGATTTTATCATAATCCCCACTCTTAAATTCTGTCAGAAGAACATTAAGACCTGGCTCTCTCAACCTGCGCAGGATCCAAGAGTGGTATACAACCTGGGGGCAGTTGGTGGCCTGAGGGCACTTTCTCCTGCCTTTTTAACTTTTGTTACTTTTGGTAAGGATGTTATTGTCAGGGTTCCGACTGATGCCCTAAGTAAATCATGAGCCTCAAGCCAAGCTTCAAAAGAAATCCAGTTTTTATAGTTTTTTATATTGTAAGCCAGACTCACTAAAACAATGAGATAGGAGATATATAAATTTGATTAATAAATACATTAAACAAATAATCCACATTAGCCTATATTTTACCCAGCAAAATCTTATTCTTCATTTTATTGTATATGCTTTGGTAGTATTTATAGTAACTTGAGCCTAAAATATATACAAGAACTTCTGTGTTTCCTCTTTTCTTCCAACCTACTGGCAGTTTCCTAAGTGATAAGAGCTTTGGATCAATGATTCCTGTTCATTTGCACATAAGGATTTCTTTTCTTAAGTTTGCATCATTATTAATCTTGACTTGACACGTATATTATCACTTAATCATATGTAACTGAAGTTTGGGGGATTATATTTCAATATGCCCTTATCAGCACATTTATAGGGATGTATTCTGCTGGGAACTAATATAATGTAATTTATATGGGCTGCTTTTGGAGATGACCTGAAAACAGTAGCAGGTACAAAATATGGTAGTTTGATTGTTGGTGGAGCAGTCAGTGTAAAGTAACTTTGATTTTAAAGTTGATTCATTGATTACCAGTAGGTGTCTTGGCCGTTGCCCACCTCCCTCCATGTGGATTTAATTCTGTTAAGCACTACACATTGAGTACGGTTTGTCAATCAATTACAAATCCATCTGCTAATGTTGCTGTCTATCCCACATTTTTCTAGTTTGCCAAGAAGTAGATTGTGGTCTATTTTGTCAAATTCCTTACTGAAATCCAAGTATACTATCTCCATAGCACTTATTTGGTCCACTAATTTAGTCACTTTGTCAAAGAATAAAATAAGATTTGTTTGGCATGATCTGTTCTTGATGAAGCTATGTTGGTTTCTGGTTATAACTTTGTTTGCTTCTAGGTGTTCACAGATTTGCTGCTTGATTATTTTTTCCAAAATCCTCCCAGGTATTGATATCAGGCTGATTGGTCTGTAGTTTCCTGGATCTGTCCCCCCCCCCCCTTTTTTTTTTTTTTTTTTAAGATGGTAAGCACATCAGCTCTTTTCCAGTCCTCCGGTAGTTCCTTGGTGCTCCAAGAACTCAGTAGTGGCTCAGTAGTTCAGAGATCATGTCAATTCCTTCAGAACTCTGGGATATTATCCATCAAAACATGGTGATTTGAATCCGTTTAGAGCAGATGTTGACAGGTATTCTATTACATTATTTTTGCTTATTTTAATTTGCATTCCTAGCCTGCCTTTTACAGTAAGTTGGGTTGATTTATCTTTGTGTGTGAAGACAGATGCAAAGAGTTAAGCAGTTCTGCTTTTTCTCTACTGGTCATTACTTCCTTGCAATCATCACCCATTAGTGGACTGACTGATTGACTTTTTTCTTGTTTTTTATGATTTGAAAGAAACTTTTTGTATTATTTTTGATATTTGTTTCAAGTCTTACTTCATTCTGAGCCTTAGTTTTCCTAACTTGTATTTGCATATTCAGGCTATTTGTTGGTTTCTGCCTTAGTTATCTATCCCTCTTTCAATTTTTTTAATTTATCCTTTTGTTTCATTCAGTTTGTCTCAGAGTTCTTTGTACAATCATCCTGTTTTTTTCTTGGGTTTCTTGTTTTTCTTTTTCAGTGGTATTGAGCTGGATTGGGCTTTTATATTAATATTTTTCAGAGTTTTCAAAGCTTCTTGAGTTAGCTTCCAAGGGGATCTTTCCCAAGCTTTTTTTGAGTTTTTCAAAATCATCTCTTTTAAAGTCTAAGACACTGGTTTGATTATGTTCTGTTGCTTGTGTCTGTATTATATTGAATTTTAATATGACCTAGTCGTTCTCCCCCTAAACTTCAATTCCCTCTATCACTTTTTCTCTGTTAGTAAGAATGAGATCCAGTATAGCTGTCCCTCTAAATCCCTCCTCTACCTTTTAAGTGACAAAGTCAGTGGTGGGTTCCAACCATGTTACCACTGGTTTTCTTCGTGCACATGCTTTGCGTGCGATCACCACATGCTTGCTCGCTCTGCTCACACGCACGCATTAGATTTCTGCCCAGCTGAGGCGCAGCAATCGACTCTGCCGTGCCTATCAGCTGGGCTAAAAAACAATAAATAAAGGTAGGTATAACGCAGGGTGGGCAGGAGGGCCCAGCTCACAGTCAAAGAAAACCGGTTCACTGACGTCACATCATCACCACTACCGGCTCGCCCAAACCAGCCCAAACCAGGAGCAACCCACCACTGGAGAAAGTTGTTAGCTAGGTTGATCAGGAACCTTTTTGACCTTCCACTTGAGATGCTCTCACAGTTGATATCAGGATAATTTATATCCCCATTAGTACTGTGGTGTGTTTCCTACATACATTTGTTAACTGGTTAGCAAACAGTTCATCTATTTCTTCTGCTTGGTTGGGTGGCCTGTAGTATACACTTATGGCAATGTCACATATATATTTCCTAAACTTCGAGCATTAGTGTACAGGCATTTATGTTCTTTGTGGCTGAGCATGGATATGCTTCCTACATCTCCATCTTTGCATTGAGGTTTTTCTGCTTTCCTTTCACTTCCTACCTCCTTATTTGGTTGGTTGTCCTTATTTAGTGGTTTTTGCTTGATATTAGGTTCTAAAGGTCATGAAGATTTATCTCCCTCCCCCCTCAATTTTAGTTTAAAGCCGTTCTGATAAGATCAATCATTTTCTGAATACATTCTTCCTGGTTCTTGGGAGGTGCAGCCCATGCCTTGCAAGGAACCCTTCATGTAGGGAACACAGACCATGATCAAGGAATCCAAAATTCTCTTGATGGCACTAATTCTCCAGTGGTTCATTTCTAAAATTCTTTGCTCCCTCATTGGGAGGCCTTTTGTTGGATGTACAGATGAAAACACCACTTGTGCTTCTAAGTCCTCAACTTTCTTACCTAGCTGTTCATAATCTCTTGTCATTGTTTTCAGGTTCATTGTCATGTCATTAGTCCCCACATGAAGGAGAAGCACCAAATGGATAACACTGAAATCAGATAGACTTCATTTTATGTCAACAATGCTGGAAAGGTTCAGCTGCATCTGTTAAGACACTTCCTGGCACTGACTGCAGCTCAAACTACCAGCTACTAGTGGCTAAATTGAATCTCAAACTGTGCAAAGTGAAAGTGTACTATCCCTTCCAAACTCAATATGAGCAACATATGACCTTTGTATATCATAGAAGTTAAGAATAGCTTTTGAACATTGTATCTAGAAGGGAAAGATCCAAGTGAACAGTGGTGAGAGATCCAAGATAACATCATGGAAATTGCTGGAAACTAAGTGTCATACCAAAAATAAAGAGAACAAAAAAGTGACACAAAATAGTTGATCAACCAAAGCCAAAGGTAATAAGGATAAAGTTAAAAACCTGAATAAAATTTTCCAATGCGAAGCCAGTAAAGACAAAAATAGACAATGCGTGAAGCAGTTTCAAACATCTGAAAGAAGCTAACAGGAAGGGACATACTAAGGACTTGTTTGCCATAGTGAAAATGATACAATCCAGCTTTTCAACACGGCAAGAAATTATTAAAAATTGCAACAGGAATATACTAAGTGACCAGCAGAAGACCAAGAACAGATGGAAAGAACATACGGATGGGCTGCAAAGCAGTTTGACTTACCATCAAGATGACAATGATGACAGCCCAATTAATAAAGAACCAAACATTTGAGGGGAAAAAGTAGAATGGCTATGGAGAAAGAAAAACTATCCAAATCCAACTATTGCATGATTGCATTGATTTCTCATGCAAGCAATTTTTTGTTAAAGATCATTCAACAGAGGCTACAGAATATTGTTGAACAAGAGTTACCTGATATACACATTAGCTTTAGAGAGAGAGCAACTGTGGTGCTGGCATAAATTATTGCATAATGGACAGCCAGAAC